TGCAGGAGGGGGTGTCCAGGCGGACGGGTGGGAGGAGTGAGGGGTTACCTCAGCCCACTTTGCGCTGCTCTAACCGAAGATCACAGACGAGGTAGGCACATTGTGATGAACAAAAGTTTATTTGGCTCACAGCGCTGCAGCTGGGAAGGCCAAGATCGAGGGGTTGCGTCTGGTGATTGCCGCATCACCTCCCGGTGAAAAGTCAGGCGAGAGGGAGAGAGAACGAGAGGGTGAGCTGTCGTTTTAGAAGGAGCCCCCTCCCGCGGTGGGGCACGCGTCCAGGGCGCCACCTTCCAACGCTGCTGCACTGGGGCTCGAGTTTCCAACGCGTGAACGTTGGGAGACACCTTTGGACCACGCAGGCGTTTCAATGAAGGAAAACCTGGGCAGAGCAGGGCATGGAAGCTGCCGGATGGCAGGGAAGGCGGCTCCTGGGGTGTGCCTGGGCGGAGAGGAGACGAGTCTGCGGGCCGTGGCAGGTGTGCCGGGCCCCCGCCGTCTGCTAAGGAGCTTTGGCTCCTCATGTAGGGGACGGGAGCAGCGGAAGCAGAGGGTGGTTTAATCCGTGTGGTCTCTTAGGTGCTGTGTTGGCAGCTTCGAGGAAGGGGCTTGAGGGAGGAAAGGCGTGGGGAGGAGGCTGCCAGGGAGCCTCGCCGTGGGGCGGGTCTAGGGGCGGGCGGTGGTCCCGGGGGATGGGGGGCTGCGCTCGGGTGCTTCCCGGGTCTAGGCTATGTGGCCCTTACGCGGGGGCTGCGTGTCACAAAGTGTCGCATCCCACTGCCGCCTCCGACGCGAAGTGCGTGGCGGGAGCTCAGCGTTTGCCGGGGCAAGCACCTGGGGCAGAACTGACAGTACCAGCTGGGGCACGTGACGAAGAGGAAGGTGTTGGGAGGCTGAATGGTTGATGACGCGGGGGTTGGGGAAGCGGAGGGAGGTGACACGGACGTGGACGTGTTCTTCCATTTGAAGAATTTAAGATCATCCAGGTAAAAACCAGAAATACGAGGACGGAGTCTGGAAGAGAAATTAGGGCTGAAAATAGGTCGAATCATCGATGTATGAACAGCAGTTAAGCCTCTGAAAATGAATGAACTTGTGTGAAAATGTGTGCTGGGGGCTGGGGGGGCAGAGGTCCAAGGACAGATCTCCAGAGCACGTGGGCAGAGGCAGCAGAACCAGCTCAGAGACCGGGGGACCAAAACCGGGCAGAGGTCTCACCCTAGAGCCCAGGCGGGAGGCAAGGCCAGCACTGCCAAAGCCTCAGGGTGCCACGAAGACTGAAAATACACCTTTCCCGGGGTTGGCAGTTAGGAGACCACTGGCGGCCTCAGCCAGAGCAATCTCAGCCTGCGTCAGGGGGAGTGCTGAGGGGTGCAGGGGAGATGGGGAGGAGGGGAGGAGGGAGACGCAGGGCTGGCTCGCAGAGACAGGCGAGGCAGGTTTGCTGTTCTTTCAGGGAGAGGGAGACGAGTGTGTTGATGGGTCAAAGAGAGCAGAGAAGGAAGGAGATGAAAGCCCCAAGGCTGGCGGGCACTGACGGGAAGGATTCTGGGAGGCGAGGACAGGCTTCCTGTGTCCAGCCGGAGGGTCAGAGGGAGGAGGCGTGGTAGGCAAGCCTAGAGCGGGCAGGCCGTGGGCCGGCAGCTCCAGGTTTTCCCTGCAGAACTGAGGGATGGTGCAGTTGAACGTTTGTTTAAGATCACAGAACCAGTAAGGAAACCTGGACTCCTTCCCCCAGCCCCCGTCTTCCCAGGCCCCGTCTCTGGAGCATTGAGCCATATCCTTGTGGCGGTTTCAGGGGCTGTGAGGCATCGTCTCTGCCCCAGCGGGTTTCTAGTTCTCCTTTTAGTCCAGCAGGTGCCGTTGTGTCTCTCTGCGTGTTCAGCTGCGAGTGCTGGGATGAGGCATGGTTCCTGCCTCCCCGGGGCCATATTTCTTCCCTGGGCCCTGGGTTCTGCCCTTTGGTGAGTTCCGTGGCAGAGCTCACCAGCTCGCTTTGGCCAGGGACATCTTGGTTCTTGGCAGACCGCCAAGCGGGCAGATAGTCCTCCTGCCCGGGTCAGCTTTGCCCTGCAGGTTGGTGAGCTGGTCTCCTTGGCAGCCAGTCATGGGCAGAAGCTGGTACACCCTGGACGTGAATGGGCCAGACGCCTGCTCTCCCACCCGGGCACCCTGCTGTGACGTTCCCTGCCCTTTCCTACCCGGGAGCTCCATCAGCAACGTGGGAGACATCCCTGCCGGGAGAGGCGCCAGGTTGTCCCAAGGCCGCAACCAGCCTGAGGAGCCCTGGAATGCCACGGCCTCCGAGCAATCCTCTTGGCCCCAAAGCCCTGATTGGGTCTGCTGGAGCAAGCTCTACGACTAGCCAGTCTGCTAGCACGACACCGGCCGGTTTGGGAATAAAGACAAGACAATGCAGAACTTTACTGGGGAAGAGGTCAAAGAGGGGTCAGTTGTCTCGTTGCTCAGGACTGGTCAGCGCAGCTCACCTCTGACCCAAAGGTCTCTTCCCTCGAGGCGGGCCTGGAGGTGGAGCGTGCTCTGGGCCACGTTTCCATCCCGGCTGCGGGTTGGACACAGAGGAGGTGGGTCTTTTGGTTTGTTCTGCTTTTTCCCACTAATGCCTGGGCCCCATCCCTAACCAATTAAATGAAAATCTGGGAGGGGGGGTCCTACACATCTGTGTATTTATAAACTCCTCAGGTCACTCAGAGCGCTGTGCAGCCAGTGCCGTGACCGGCTGACGTAAAGGGAGGTGGAGTGAACTGTGTTCGTGGAAGGAAGACCGAGAGAGAAAGGAGGGAGGGTGGGAGAGGATGCAGCTCCTGAATCCGGAACGTTAGAGCTGCAGGACTCTGGCTCAGAGCTTTGCAGCTCCAAGTGTGGTCCGGCCAAGCAGCAGGGCCCCGGGGAGCTGGCTGGAACGCAGGTCGTCGGGCCACCACGCCGGCGTGTCGGGCTGTGCACAGCGAAGTTTGGGGAGTCGGTGTCGGATCCTGCAGAGAGCATCCAGGCCGTGGGACTCCTGGGGCGCTGGGTAGATCAGTTAACTCGGAATTCCTAGGTGTGGTACCCAGATACTCATTTTTTAAGAAATGCTTTTTAAGTGCCCCAGGTGATTCTCTTGCTCAACCGTAGTCAGGAACACCCGCCTTGGCCAGTGCTTCTGGACTGGAACGCGAATCACCGGGATCGTGTTCAAATGCTGAGTCTGACTTTATACATCTGGAGGAGGCCAAAGATTCTGCCTTTTTAATAAGGGCCCTGAGACGCCCGTGCTGCTGATCTCACGTATTTTGAGCGGCAGGGATCTGTTAGACCGACGCCCCAGTCTGATAGCGGGGCAGACTGCAGGTCCGCGACCGAGGCGTGGTCGTCCACGGTCTCCCGGCACGATACTCGTCCAGTCCTTTCTGATACGCCCTCCTACCTGCCGGCAGCGGGCTGGGGGCTGGGGCTCGAGTTGGGAGCAAGACAGACCCCACCCCAGTCCGCACGGGCGTCTGTCCCAAAGGGAGAGACAGAGAAAAAGCAGACACATGGGCAGCGAAGCTAATTACAGATCGGAGAAGCGCTGCGAGGCAGACGAGAGGGCCACGTGGCAGGGCACGGCTCAGAGGCCGCCGTGGGCGTGGGCAAGGCAGCGCCTCCAGGACAGCCGTCAAGGGAGTTACCAGAACAGTGACTGTAGCTGGGGACGTCTGACCACAAATCCTTCCTTACTGGACAGGGCTATTCTCCATCCCCTCTGGGGCTGGGGGACAGGTGCTGCTGACCCTGCTGGGGAGTCCGACCTGGTCCCTGCCGGGCCCCCCCAGCTCAGGACTCTCATTCTGTATTGTTTGTGGGCTTGGAGTGGGGCCTGGGGGTGCCCTGATGGGGAGCAGAGCGTTGACTCGTGACAGGGCGGTGTCAGGACCGTTGATCCGTGATTTGCAACGTGGACAGGCCTCCATGCAGATGCCGTCCCTGCCCCTGAGATAACTGAAGGTTTTCTGTTTATGCCCAGAGAGCACAAACATCAGGGCTTCCCTCCCTGTCCTGATCAGTAGGAGTCACCTGGGCTGCTTGGGCACATGCCTGCCCCACGCAACACCTGGGTTACCTGAGGCGGTGTCCAGGGAAGGGCCCAGGTGATTCTTTGGCTCCAGGTGATTAGGGAAACATGATGGGGATGTTAGAAACCGGCCCTGGGCATCTCTGCCTCTTCGTGTGGCTGTGCAAGCTGCAGGAATCTCCACCGCAGGGACTCAGCAGCACGGCCCTGGCCGAGTCGGTGACTGCCAGGAAGCCCCTGCCTGCGTGCACGTAGCAGCTCACCCTTCCCACGTGCGTCCTTCCCTCGCCGCCTCCCGACTCCTCCTGGACCAGCCGGCCCCCCCTGGCTACCTGCACCCCCATTGAAACTCCCTCGCTGAGTCACCGCCGGCTTGGGAGCCAGGCTCGGGCGCTGTCCGCGTGTGGTCCGGGTCTGGAGGGTTGGAGGAGCCTCGTGAGCCCATCGAGTAGCCCGCCCCCACTCCGGTCTCTGGCCCGCGCGGACCTGTTAGGCGCAGGTGGGGGAGATTGAGGATGGAGAGGTGGGCGGTAGGCAGCCCAAGGGATGCCTCAGATGGTGGAGAATCGGGAACCTTCGGTTGGGTAAAAGATGAATCAATCCCTCATGGTTAGCTTGACTTTCCTGTCAACAGTGGGCAGATGCAGCCATCTGCTGCCCAGAGAGGGCCCTTCCTAGGCCAAAATGTGGAAGAGGACAGTGAGGGAACCACACCAGCGAAGCTAGAGCGGGCCAGCCTGGCTCGAGACCTGGTCCGTGAGGACTCTGCCCTCTGCGGAGTCAGCAGAGTATCGGGGTGAGAAAGGACGCTCTGGAGACAGCCCCTCAAGGGCAGCTTTGTGCTCTTCGGAGCAGGGGCAGGTGGATGTGGGGGGTCCTGCTCCAGGGTCGAAGCAGGAGTGTTTGTGGAGCTGACCAGACACCTGTGACTCCTGCCTCCCAGGTGGCCGGAGGCAGCCAGGATGACAGCTCTCCCCAGGAGCCCTGCTGCCCGCTGAGGAACATGATCAGCAAGTCCCGTGAGTGTTGTGCGACGCCCCCCCGCCCAAAGGCCAGGCTCTGGAAGCAGCCTTCAGCAGCATCCTGGGATCCTGGGGTCTGTGGAGGGGCAGACGGGGAGCCGGGGGCCCCTCTCTTCATCTTAGGTCCATGCCCTGAGCTGGGGCCAGGAGGGGGCCGGGGATGGGTCTGCTGGAGTTGGGGGTGGAGGGGCCCAGAACGGGGCAGGTGGGAGGCTGGGCGGGGGCTGCGCCTGCCTGTCCCCGCCTCCAGCTCCTCCGTGCATGTGCCCCGCAGGCTGGAAGCTGCTGGCCATGCTGGCTCTGGTGCTGGTCGTCATGGTGTGGTACTCCATCTCCCGAGAAGACAGGTACATGGAGCTGTGAGTCAACTTCCATGTCCTTCCATCGGTTCTTCTCGGGCTTAGGGATGGAGCGTCGTGGGGTGCGGGACCTAGTCGGGCAGCCAGGGCACGGCCTCTCGCCCACAGCTGCTGGTGCGGATGCTTTTGTGGGGCTGGGGTGGGCTCTGGGATGACTCCCCTGGGCCCTCACAGGGAGTGCGGGGGCAGCGAGAGCTGGATCCCAGTGATTTGTCTCAAAGTGAAACTTGGGCTGAGATGATTTTACACTACAGTCCTCCTCCAGTACTTAGGACCGCTGTGCCGCGGGAGGAGGTTGAGGCTGCCTGCAGCGCTGGCCCTGGGCTCCTGGCTCTGACTGAGGCTCCTGCCCCCTCTCCTTTTCTGTCTCCAGTTTTTATTTTCCCATCCCAGAGAAGAGGGAGCCGTGCCTGCAGGGCGAGGCAGAGAGGAAGGCCTCTAAGCTCTTTGGCAAGTAAGCACGTGGGGGTGCGGGGCAGGGCATGCCGTGAGCTGGGCCTGAGGGGCTCGCAGCGCCCGCCCGGGCCTCATGCTGGCGAGGGAGACCTGGGGTAGGCGGAGCCAAGGAGGGAGGGGGAGCCTACAATATCCGTCAGGGCCCTGACCCTGCTGGCATCAGGGTTAATTCCTTTCTCATCCCCACCCTGCTCTCACCTCTTACAGCAACTCCCGAGACCAGCCCATCTTCCTGCAGCTTAAGGATTATTTCTGGGTCAAGACACCGTCTGCCTACGAGCTGCCTTATGGGACCAAGGGGAGCGGTACGTTCCTGCCTGGCTTTCAGGAATGGTGGCTCACGTCGGCCACACTGCTTCCTGTTCTTTGCCGTCCACGGCCCCAGTGCCCTCATTCTGAGCCGGGGGCGGGGACAGCAGCCAGGGCTCTGAGGGCAGGGAGGGAGGGCCGGCAGCCTGCAGGGCGCCAGCTGTGGGGTCAGCCCCTCTGTCGGTTCTTTCTGCAGAAGACGTGCTCCTCCGAGTGCTAGCCATCACCAGCCACTCCGTGCCTGAGAGCATCCAGAGGTAAGGAGAGCGCCTTCCGCCTAGGCCGGGCGCCTTCTTCTCCTTCCTGCGCCGGTGTGAAACCGTCACGGCCCGGGCATCAGGTGCCGAGCAGGCAGAGGCCGCCGGGGCCGTCAGCAGCGAGGGGCCCTGCAGGGCGCACCCCATGCGCCGTCTCTCCTCTCTGCCTCTCTGCTCCGCTCTGCTCAGCCTCCTCTTCCTTTAGGGCCTGTGGCTGCAGAGCCAGCATGGCCATCCGCAGGACCGCTGGGGGCCAGGGGCTGAGGGGGCTGGGCACGGTCCTGAGATGGGTGCCCCCCGGGCAGAGGCAGGGCAGCGAGGGTGAAGCGTGAAGCGGAGCGGGGTTCCTCTGGGTTTGATCGCTCCTCTTCCCATGGCAGCCTCAAGTGCCGCCGCTGCGTGGTGGTGGGCAACGGGCACCGGCTGCGGAACAGCTCGCTGGGAGACGCCATCAACAAGTACGACGTGGTCATCAGGTGTGTGCCCGTCTCCTCTTACGCCTGCTTGGGGACTGGGCGTCCCAGACGGGGCTGTAGACGGGCCCAGCAGGCTGTGGTGATGGGCATCCTCCTCCCCCTGTAGATTGAACAACGCCCCAGTGGCCGGCTATGAGGGCGACGTGGGCTCCAAGACCACCATGCGTCTCTTCTACCCCGAATCTGCTAATTTTGACCCCAAAGTGGAAAACGACCCGGACACGCTTCTTGTCCTGGTAGCTTTCAAGGCGATGGACTTCCATTGGATCGAGACCATCCTCAGCGACAAGAAGCGGGTAAGTGGGCAGGCAGGCGGGGACGGGGACCTGGGGACGGGGACACTGCCCGAGTCAGGGCCTCATGCTCCGCGACATCTGCCTTGCAGTCCTAAAGAGCTGGTGAGGGGACGGCGTGACCCGGGCTCCCAGCGGTCAGGCCTCCCGCCGAGGGTGGTGTTCTGTTGGGCTTCTGACCAGCCTCCCCAGCAGCCGGGCTACAGGCCCACAGGAGTCAGGAGGTGGCAGCCCAAGCACCCACGCTTGATGGATGTCTGGGCCAAGAGAGCTGCCGAGTGCAGGCTGCCTGTGAGGAACCTGGGGGTGAGGACCCTCCAGCAGCCACCTCCAGGCAGGGGCAGGTTAGGACGGTGAGGTCTGTGCCCTGACAGACAGACCCCAGAAAGAGTGCACACGGCACTCTGCCGTCCTCTCTAACGCTGTGGGTTTTGCTGTGTTTAGACAGCCTAAGACTCTAGCCTCTGCCTCCGGTTTGGATATCCTTGGAGCGGGGGCGTGACGGGACCCTATGCTCCACTCACCTTGTCACCCAGCCTCCCCGAGGGGTGCCCTTCCTGCTCTCTTTCCCTGCTCTCCTCTGGTCTCCCTCCTCAGGCACACACCCCACCTCCCTTCCTCTCGCTCCGCACTCCCGGGGCCTCTGCCACCTCTTGGACTCCATCGCCCGGCTGAAGGCCACTGGGTCGGACTTGAGAAACATATCTTCACCTTCTCTCTCTCCCTTCTGACTCCATCTTCCTAGGTGCGAAAGGGTTTTTGGAAACAGCCTCCCCTCATCTGGGAAGTCAACCCCAAACAGATTCGGATTCTCAACCCCTTCTTCATGGAGATCGCGGCTGACAAGCTGCTGAGCCTGCCGATGCAGCAGCCACGGAAGATCAAGCAGGTGATGACGGCTGGGCACGGGGACGCCAGGCCTGAAGGTCAGGGTCCTGGGCGGGAAGTAGGTGGGACATTCCTGTAGGCTTGGGGAGCCGTGGAAGGATCCCATGAGAGGGGACAATAATAGCAGAGACAGCAGCTTGCATTGGACCTCCAGGAACACACCTCTAATCAACATCTATCGTTGTTAGCTTGCTGTGGCCAGCGAGAGGGACGCTTTGGACAGCTGTGGGGCATCTTCAAAGCGGGGACAGGGGAAGGGTCTGTGTCCAGTTTGGGGACTGGAGTGAGAGGATGGCTTTGGCCAGTACTGGTCAGAATTTGTAAACCAGCTGCTCAAACAGTCTAGTGGTCCCGTCCATGGAACAACTTGGGCCCACGCAGGGTTACTGGCAGGTGCTTGGCCTGTGATCTTGTCTTGGAACATACTGGTTTGAGTGAGTTAAAAGAGTTTGAGCTTCAACAGTTTTTTTTTTTTTTTTTGAGACAGAGTCTCACTCTGTCGCCCGGGCTAGAGTGCCGTGGCGTCAGCCTAGCTCACAGCAACCTCAAACTCCTGGGCTCAAGCGATCCTCCTGCCTCAGCCTCCCGAGTAGCTGGGACTACAGGCTGTGCGCCACCATGCCCGGCTAATTTTTTTCTATATATTTTTAGTTGTCTGATTAATTTCTTTCTATTTTTAGTAGAGACGGGGTCTCGCTCTTGCTCAGGCTGGTTTCGAACTCCTGAGCTCAAACAATCCGCCTGCCTTGGCCTCCCAGAGTGCTGGGATTACAGGCGTGAGCCACCGCGGCTGGCCAAGCTTCAACAGTTTTGTCTTGCATGTCACGGTTTGGTACAGTGTGTCGATTCTCGGGAGTCATGATGCAGCTTCGCAAGTTATGGTTTTGATTTCGGCGCCCCGGTGGTCTTCGGCTGGTGGGCTTGAACCCACCTTGTAGCTTCCCAAGTACTTCCATGAGCATTTTGGAGCCCCTCGGGGAAAAGAGGTAGACCACACAGATGGCTGTGCCGCTGCCTGCGTTGCTTTGGCCGGTGAGCCACTCGGAGCCTCGGTTTTCTTGTCTGTATGGTGGGGTTAATATCCCTACTGACCTCTGAAGGCCGTTGTAGGATTTAAGGAAACGATTATGTAAAATACCTGTTATGGAGATGAGCACACAGTGCCTGCTCCATAAATATTTGACAAATTTTGAACAAACTATTTTACGCTTTACTGAACATCCACCTGTGAATTCAGCTTCGTGCGTTGAACGCCTGCTTTTGTGACCGCTCAGTGCGGGCCCAGGTCTGCAGCTTGGGGAGCAGGACACGCCCCTTGCCCTAAGGGAACTCAGTCCAGCAGAGTAAGCGGCAGGTTGCACGGTGGAGGGATCGAGTGCCACCGTGGAGAGTTGTTCCAAATGCTGCGGGACTTCGGAGGAGGGGCAGACATCTGCCCAGGGGAGGCGGTGCTGGAGCCAGGCGGGCAAGGCTCCTGCCGCGGCTCACTGGGCAGAGAATCGGGCAGGGCGTTCCATTTGGCGAGAGCCAACAGCTCCTCCGGCACCGGGTTGGGCTAGTGCAGTGGAGTCGTGGGGCATCAAGGAGGAGTTCTGTGCCAGGGACGGGGCGCAGATGGAGAGGAGGTGGGGAGGGAGGTAAGAGAGGGTGAGGACCTGAACCCAGCTCCCGGTGGCAGGAGGGGAGAAGGAGGGGAGGGATGTGACGGTGTATTTCTGCTGCTGCTCGCTGATTACCGCAGCATGGTGGCCTATGATGCCCGTGTCTTGGCCCATAGTCCTGCAGGTCTGAAGCCCAGCACAGCGGGGCTCGGTTCTCTGCACGTCACAAGGCTGAACTCAGTTTCTCAGCCAGACCGAGTTCTCGTCCGGAGGCTCACGGGGGAAATTTTGCTTGCTGCTCATTCAGTGCCTGTGGCTGTAGGACTGGGTCCCCACGCGCTGTCAGCTGGGGAGGGCCCCTCAGCTCCTGGGGGCCGCCCACATTCCTTGCCACATGGCTCCTCCTTTAAGCCAGCGACAGCACGACGCATCCTTCTTGTGCTTCCAGTCTCTGACTTCCTCTGTTTCTGGTCTCGACACCCAGAGTTAAAGGTCCCGGTAATCAGGTCAAGGCCAGCAGGATGGCCTCCTCTCCTGCGGTCAGCCTGCCATGCAAAGAACATCCCGTAACGAAATCTCACCGTGCTCACGGGTCCTGCACGCACGCAGAGGGGAGTACACGAGGGCTGGGGTCGTCAGGGTCGTCTTACAGTTCTGCCCGCGACCGCACACATGGCACAGGTGGAATCGAGGGGTTTCTGACCGAGTCTAGGTTCTTGGCTTGGGTGACTGGGAGGTGGTGACATGTTGAACCGACACAGAGATGCACGGAGGAGCAGGAGGAGTTTGGTGAGTTTGAGGAGCCACGGCCAGGCGGAGCAGGCTAGAAGGCCGCGGAAACGCGGTTCCGCAGGGGCCCGAACTGGCCGAGGAAACGCGGTGGTGGTGAGAGCAGCAGCGTGAAAAAGAAGGCCGGGGCAGGCAGCAGAAGGTGAGCAGGTAGGGGAGCTCAGGAGGGAGCTGGAGAGAGCCGTGGCAGAGGCCTGACGGGGCCCAGGAGCGACCCCCACATGGGTGTGGGCGGCTGAAGTGGTCTGCAGGGCAGGTTGCTAGAGCTGAGGAAGGCAAGATGCGTGGAGGGAGAACATGAGGCTGCCCACCCCGCGGAAGAACGAGGGATGGAGGACGGGAGGTCCTCAGAGAAGCCCCCGTGGTGGGCAGGAAAGGGCCAGCTGCCCTGCTTCAGAGAGGGGGAGCCCACCCCCATAAAGGGTCACACAGCTAGCGAGTGTCAGAGCCCCCAGATCTCCTTAATGAGGTGAGCTTCTCCAAGGAGGAAGGCAGAACCTTTCCCCTCTTTGAGCCTCAGTTTTCTCATCTGTAAAAGGGGACTAAAGATAGCATCCATTGCCAAGTGTTTTTGTGAGGACTGGATGAGATTATACTCGGTAAGATACTTAACACAGTGTCTGGCACACTAGTGCTCAGAAAGTAATAGGTTGTCATTATCGTCATTCTGATTGTCATCGTCATTCCTCCCCTAGATGTGTGGTGCTGTACTGTTCAGTGTGGCAGCCACTAGCCACATGTGACTATTTATTTATATGTATTATTATTTTTCTAGAGATAGGCTCTCTCTGTCACCCAGGCTGGAGTGCAGTGGCTACGCCTGGGTGTGATCACAACTCACTGCAGCCTTGAACTCCCGGCCCAAATGTTTCTCCCACCTCAGCCTCCTGAGCAGCTGGCACTGCAGGTGTGGCCACCTCACGTGGCACACGTGACCATTTAAATTTAAATTTCGATTAGTTAAAATTGCACTGGCCCCACTCGCGTGCTCAGGCTCGTGGCTGCCACATGGGACGGCGCACGTGAACGTTTCCGTGACGGCAGAACGTTCTACTGCAGGGTGCCGGCCTGGGAGGGGTGGGACGAGCAGGTCTCCCTGACACCCCCACTCCTTGTCCCTCAGAAGCCCACCACGGGCCTGCTGGCCATCACCCTGGCCCTCCACCTGTGCGACCTGGTGCACATCGCCGGCTTTGGCTACCCAGACGCCCACAACAAGAAGCAGACCATCCATTACTACGAGCACATCACGCTCAAGTCCATGGCGGTAAGCAGCCGCTTGTGCGAGCTGGCGGGATGGACGGGCCTGGGGACCGGACACTCAGAGGGACACCGGGTGAGTGAGTGTGGTGCCGGGGCCCAGAGGCGGTTCACAGGGAGGTCACTCAGAGAGTCCGGACGGGAACCGAGGCCCCCGGACTCTGTGGCCGGCACCCGCTGTGTGCAGCCGAGAGCCAGCACGGGGAAGGGAGCTCCCGAGAAGGGTGGGGCTGTGGGGAGTGGGGCAGGGAGACTCTCCTGGGGACAGAGAGATCCCTGGGGGTCCCTCAGTTCACTTCCTTGGCTGTTCCCACAGGGCTCGGGCCACAATGTGTCCCAGGAGGCGCTGGCCATTAGGCGGATGCTGGAGATCGGAGCCATCAAGAACCTCACGTGCTTCTGACGCGGGCGAGAGCGCAACCCACCAGTTGCCGGCTCTGCTGCCTGGGTGACCCCCATCCATGGCCGTGCCTGATGCCAGCGTGACCCACTTGGACTCACTGCCTGTGGACAGAGTCCCGGGACCGGCCAGGTCTGAGACGAGGCCGTGCACCAGCCGCTCCTGTGGAGCCCAGATCCAGTCAGCGTGGGGGCCCTGGGCCGCAGGCGCCCGGCCGAGGCGGGGGCTTGTTGCCGCAGCACCTCCTCTCTGCCGGCACCGAGGGATTATTTAACAGGCTATTTAACTATAGGGCAGGAAGGTGCCGTGGGCTGGTCCCATGGCATCTAGGAAAGAGGCCAGTACAGTGTTCTGCCCGCTTTTTATAAACTTACATGCGATGGGCCTACGAAGGCCCAGACACAGAGCCGGTCTCCCAGGAGGGTGAGGACATCGAGATTGGTGGGTGCCCTCCAGAGAGGGGCTGCTACCTCCCAGCAGGCATGGGAAGAGCACTGGTATGGGGGTTCCACTGAGAAGGGGACCTCATTGAGAAAAGAGGTAAAAACCCACCATTAAACTATTTTTCCTAAAACGGAAGCAGTTGTGATGCCCTGCATCCTTTCAGGTTGGGGAGGGGACAGGTGGGGTGTGACAGCAGCGTGGCCATTCGGGGAACAGGTGCTTCTCGAGTACAGAACAGCGCTTGGTGCCCGGTCGTGCATTAGCCCCCTGGCGTCGCGGGCGCCTGCAGCAGGCCTGTGTTCAGACCCCGGGCCTGGGCCTGGCTCCTGGGGCGGTTTACTTCCCAGAGGGAGGGAGGGAGGGGCCGCAGACGCCAGGTGGGAGTGGCAGGTCCTCTCCCGTCTTCCTTCCTCTCGCCCTCACCATTCTTCAGCTACCAAAATCTCATGCGTGTGTGCTTTAAGGACAGGGGTGGGGTCAGACAAAGAAAGCCAAGTTTCCCTTCTGAGATTAAGGGGAACCAGAACATGGAGTTTATGGAAGGTCCCGCCAGCGACCCAGGCTGCCAGGATAGCGTGGGCAGGGCTGGGGGGCAGTGTTCCAGGGACTTGGCAAGGCCTGCCGGTCAGTCGCCAGGCCAGGGGATGAAACTTTCTTTCCTGGGTCTCTAGAATCCTAACAGCCCTGCCGTGTGCTCGTGTCTCACGCCTTTGTTCTCCATCTTCCCAGGCCTCTGCTTAGCTGCCAGCTGGGCTTCCCGCCACCCCCACAGCTGTTCCTTCACATCTGGGGCCAGGAGAGAGAGTTGGAACTCCCTCGTGGGGAATGAAACTCACAGCTGTGTTCCTGGCTGGCTTGCAAAGAGTTGCAGCCTTGAGGTTTTGAGACAAGCCAGGCTGGGCCAGGACAGATAAAGAGGGCAGTGATTTGGGAGGAACAGAGGAAGGTGACACAGTGCTCGAGAGGGTGTTGGAACGGCCTTGAGAACACCCAACCTCATCCCACAGGCCGGCCCTGCTCTCTCAGGCCTGGCTCCTTTGCCCACTGCTCTCCTCCTGGGGAGGGGGCTCTGAGAGCAAATAGGGCCCTGGACCTGCACCCAAGCCCCCGTCCTCCACAAGGGCTAGCGCTGCCTTCCAGGCTTTGTTCTGGGAGGGAGCTTGTTGACTCCAACAGGGGTGTGTGAGTTGGGGCGGGGTCATCTCGGCTCTGCTCACCCCTGACGTATGCAAGGGAATGTCCACTTCCCCACCCAGGGCCATCCAAAGTAGCTGTCTGCGCACACAATCCAGCTGTCCTGGACCGAGGCCACTGCCTGTACTGAACGTGCCCAAACTTGAGCCAGAATCCAACACGGGGGATGGGTCAGACCATCCCCCACACTGCACACACAGGGGCATGCTACGTTCTCGCTGCGTTAGGTTGGTGACACCACGTGCAGCCAGTCCCTGAGGATCCCGCACAGAGAGCACCGTGCGGGGTACACCCAGACAGACCCGCTCGCTTGGGGTGGGCGGAGCCACCCTCAGGGCTCCCGGCGCCCCGCACGGAGAGCAGCGGGGGCGCCGCGGCGCGTCCTCACCCGGCTCGGCACTCACTCGCCGGCCCGCGCCGGGCCCCAATTCCTGCGCTCCGAGACGCGGGCGCGGGGCGGGCCGGCCAGTGGGGACCGCCGACCTCGGGACATCCAGGATGAAGGTTCCCGGGTTTTACCCGGGCTGCTGGGGACGGGCCTGGGAATCTGGATTTTAACATGCGTCGGGAACCGCTGCTCTAGCGGTCTAGACTCCAGCACCATCTCCGGGGCTCCTTCAGCCCTGCGGTGCGCGCGGAAACCCCGCGCTAATCCCGGGCGTCCCGGAGCCGCGCTGCGCAGGCGCACGCGCAGCGCCCTCCGGCGGGCAGGGGGCAGTCGCTGTGCGCGGGTCGCCTCGCCCACATCAGGGCGGGGCCGCGCATGCGTGGTCCGCGCCGGCGCCGGGCTGGCCCGACGGCGGTGGGAACGGGCGGCGGCTCTGGGACTCCCCGTCGGACTCCGGCCAGCTTGCCGGCCTCCGCCCGCGGCCTCTCGGGACGCTGACCTGGCGCCCGCCTCAGGCGAGGCCGGCGCCTCCCTGGCAAGCGGCTCGAGTTCTGGCGACGGCCAGAGGCCGTCACGTGACTGCTTGGCCTCCCGGGGGGCGGGGCGAGCGAGACTCGGACTGCGGGGAGGACAAGGGATCTGCCCCAACAGTTCCGACTGTGGGAGTCCAGCCCTCCTCCACAGAGGGGAAACTGAGGCCCGGGGGAGAAGGGACGCCCGGCTCGACCTCCTTCCTGGGCAAGACTAGAGTAGGTCGTGCAGGAGCACATTCAAACGCGATTCCGTATTCACATCACGTGGTGTGCCGTAATTTCGGACACTTCGGGTTTTTATTTACACCTTCCAGGGGCATCAGTACACGCAACTGCTTTATTCCAGAGACCGTCGAGCCTACGGAGAGTTTGAGCTTGGAAGCAGTTCTGTCCGGGAGGCAGGACGGTGCAGAGCACACGATGCGGACGGCTCCGCTCCCTGCTCCGCCGTTAGTTGGCGCCGTGCAGCTCTGCCGCTGCGTGTGGACGCTGGTGATCGTGCACGCGCGACCACCGCCAGGTGCGAGAGATCTGATGGGAACATGTCGTGAAAGCACGTCGTGGGTTGTGAAGTGTGGCATCAGTGTTAGACTGGAAAGCTGCCTTGCGTGATGGAAAATGCTGGAGAGAGTATGGAACAGGTGGGGTACATTTGCAGGGCCAAATAGTTGCCAGGTAGTGAGTAACATGGCTCGTTACAAAAACGTCTTTGTCTTAAATCGCCCACGAGCTAAGTGGGGAAGGTAAGACATCATTGAAATGAGTCAAACGATGAACAAACTGCTCTCTAGCCCTGGTTTTCAAGCTGACGTCAGACACCTTTAGGGGTTTTTGAGAAAGGTTTCGTGGGAAACATCCGTTTCAATGAAATGTAGCATACCAGAGTGGGTTCCTAAAGGTTGAGTACTACAACCTCAGAGTTGGTGAGCTCTCCTCTAAACCCTCTGACCTTTTTGAAGTCTTGATTAGTTTCAGAAAATTATCTGTTAGTTTTGAACATTCCCATGGTTCTGTACCAGACATGCTTCCAAGAAATCAGATCTTCTTTCCAACTTAATTTAAGGAGGGGTGTGGTGTGTGTCTGTGTGTGTCTGTAGTTACAGCCAGTTTTCTCACCCAGTTCTTTCTCGATGAGTTTACCTCTCTTGTTAGAGATCTTTGGGATCCTGCACCCAGGAAATAAGGGGAGATCAACTTTGAGTCTTTCTAGATGACAGATTTGGAAGAAGCCCAAATGTATTGGAAGAATAGCAGTTGGAGAGCTGCTTCACTTGAAGGGACCACAGAGAGTGGGAAGCAGGTGGGACAGACCACAGTGCTAAGACCACAGTGCTTAGCGCAAAAGGGTTTGACAAAAGTTTTTAGGGAAAAATCAACTTTGGGAAAGGCGGGTGCTGTTTCTTTCCCCATTTCAGGTTCCCAGGGAAGGCTAACAATTTAAACACCTACCCTCTGAACAGAGGCATAGCTTCCTCTTGAGAGCCTTGGGAGGCTGGGACGGTGGTGTTGGTGGGGAGAATGGGAGGAGGCTGGGATGTTGATGCAGCCCTAGGGAATGGAAGTTGGAATCGCTGCACTGAGCTCTTCCAGAACCATCTGTCCACTCTGAGGCTCCCCAACACTATGGACATGCGGCACCAACTTTAACACTCAGGGAGTGGATTCACTTGCTTAAAAATGTGTCTCTCTTCTTACTCTTTTTACTCTCTTCTTACTCTCCTCTACTCAAGGAAAAAACATCCCGAGAGTACAAGCTGGAGTCTGGTAAGGAGGTTCCTTCCAGTTCTGTGCTCACGTTTCCTCTGTGGGTTTATGTTGCACTGATGTAGTGCTTGCATGGCAGGGGGGCTAGAGAGACTTTTTAATTAAAAGTCAAATAGGAAGTCCTTATCTGAAAATTCTGCTTTAGAAGTCCTGAAGCCTTATCTGTATCACGTTATCTCTACTTGCCTTCTGTTAGTGTTTCTCTCAAGTGCGATGCCCGTTAATGTCATGAATATACTTTCTAGTCCTTATGCAGCAGAGCCTGACCCTCTCATTTCCTTGCGGAGGCGGCGAAGGTGGTATCTTTCACTCAGTCCACCTGAACTTGTCTTTGCGTAATTGTAGATGACCTTTAGGGCTGCGGTCCCTAACTGCCCCCTCTTGTGTGTGGAAAATTGTCTTCCATGAAACCGATCCCTGGTGCCAAAAAGGTTGGGGACCGGGCTTTAGGGGATTTGAATCCTTTCCTGTATTCAGCTCCTATCCTGAGTAGTACTTTTTCTCCTGCACAATTAGGAATAGATTTCAGAGAAACTACATTTAAGACCCTAATCCTCCCAATGAAGATCTGGACTTCCTGAGACTTCACTTACCTCCTTTTTGAACATTAATACTTTAGATCCACCATAAAGAAGACAATTATAAAGAAGCGTTCTTTGAATGTTCTCATAGCATTCCAAGATACTGCCAAGGGCCATAAGGTTAAGGGGCAGAGGCAGGAAATGCTTTTGCTTGTCTGGTATTCTCCAGTCAGGGAGCTCAGGAAGCTTGCCGCCCAGGGGTCGAGGATGTCCCGGGCCTGTGGGTTGGCTGAGTGGACTGTCCCACAGAAGCGCACTGGGAACACGGAGGGGCAGGCAGATTCTGGCAGAGGCATAAATATAACCAGGGAGGGAGACCACCATCCCACAACCTATCTTGTGAATGGTCTGTGTTCACACAAGGCCTTTTAAACATGAGGGCTATCGTGGTAGAAAAACTACAGGGCTTGTGTTGTAGTAACCAGAGCTTTCGGTCTGTGTCAGAGACCTTGCCGTTAGGGAGGAGGGAGAGGTTAGCGAGATCCTACGGCAAACATGGACTCATCCAGAACGATTCCTTACTTTTAGAAAGAGGAGTAGCTTGGAATTTTCTCACTTCTCCCAGTTGGTGACCTGGCTAGGAAGACTGGAACGCAGAGGGGTAGAGAAAGGATGACTGAGGCCTGCTGGAAGCGAGAAGCCACTGTCAGCAAGAGAGCGCTTCTCAATGACCAAGATTGCTGCTGTTTTGACGTGAAAGTTGCAAATAACTGGTATGTGGTTTACAGCTCCTAAAAACAGCTCGGATAAGAGGCTTTTAAAAGACCTTTTTAAAGGGGAAGTAAAATTCAAGATTTAGTCGAGCTGTCACTGGCTGAAGTCTAAAGGTTTGTTTCTTTAGGCGCACCAAGCGACACTTTAAGTAGACGTCTATGTGTGAATTAAGATAGTTGTTATTTAAATATTTATATTTTTATTTTAATAACGAGTGTTTTATAGGGAAAGTTCCTAGAGAAGACCGCAGGACTCCGCTTCATCTTTTTTCTTTCTGGGGCCATCACAGACCACACGCAGGAAGCCTGGGAAGGGTGGGTCAAACCTGTGGCGTGTGCCTCGCGGCGTCGGCTGGCCGCGGTGACGGCAAATACCGCAAGCAGCTCACGCTCCTCTCCAGCCAGGAAGTGAGAAATGGAATTCCTGTTGGCCCCCGTTCTCCTGCTCTGAGAAATCTCCCAAGGACTGCCTCATATTGTTTTCATTTCCTAGGTCCTTTCTGTGCTGGGAACTTAGAGGCAGCTTCGTGGCCTGCTGCTTAAGAGGATTTGTTTAAATAGGCTTCGTCAGAAACGGATTTGATGTGACATTCTAGCTCTTCATATGAGAACACTTCCTATTCGAGGGAAGTCGAAGACGTGGTGGAAATAACCCTGGCCTTTGCGGACTGATAGTGGGCCTGAGAATTAGAAACTGGGCTCCCGTCCAGTGCCTCTGAGCCAATAACGAAGTTTAAAGCTATCAGAAAACTGGATCCTGGCCTTGCTAGGGGTGGGGGTGATTTGATACACAGCGTAGCTTTGTTTCCCAGGGAGCTGTGGTCTTTCCAGGTCGTCTGGGGACTTAGAGTGGAGGATGCCAGTCCTGCCTTCCTAATGGAGCGGTGGCTCGTCCTTGCCCAGCCCGCCCCAGAGTGGGCACTGGCAGACGGCCACTTCCATCCACATTCTAGGATGAGAGTGGCCTTGAGTTTGCCGTGTAGGATGGGAACATCTTGGAGTGGAAATCACGTGCATTTAAATGTCATGTTTGCCACTTGTTAGGTCTTGATCTTGGGCAAGTCTTGTGCCGCCCTTAAGCCTAATTCCCACATCTGTAAAATGGTGATACTTTGTAGAATTGTGAAGATTAAATAAGATTATAAATGGAGAGCACTCATTTAGAGTCTCACTGTCCTGCCTGGGCTAGAGTGCCGTGGCGTCAGCCTAGCTCACAGCAACCTCAAATTCCTGGGCTCAAGCCATCCTACTGCCTCAGCCTCCCGAGTAGCTGGGACTACAGGCATGCGCCACCATGCCCGGCTAATTTTTTCTATTTTTAGTTGTTTGGCCAATTTCTTTCTACTTTTAGTAGAGATGGGGTCTCGATCTTGCTCAAGCTGGTCTCGAACTCCTGAGCTCAAATGATCCACCCGCTTCGGCCTCCCAGAGTGCTAGGATCACAGGCTGAGCCACCCCGCCTGGCCTAGAGCACTCATTTAATGCGCAATCACCTACAGGGAAATTCAGGGCTTCCCACTGACTTTTTTTTTCTTAAAAAAAAACAACAAAAAAAACCAAGCTCCCTTTACTGGCTTTTCTGCATCCTCACTCCTTTATGAGAAGGAGCTAGGGCTGGAGACAGCTGAAGGACGCACGTAACTCAGTCTGGCTCCTTCTCAATGATCCAGAGTCCCCAGTTCCCCTCATTTTTTCCCTCCATGCTGTTCTGTCTCACAAAGACTGCACTTGTGCCCTCCCATCGCTTCGGTGGTTCTCTGCCGTGTGTCTGTGTTGGAGAGAGCCCAGAGGGTCGGGCACTGTATAGCCCGGTCTTTGCCGCTGTCCTGGTGCTCTCTGCTCAGCCTCCGCGCTGGTCCCCACTCTTACCCTGGGAGTGCCCAGAGCACAAGAGGAAGCTCATTCTGTTCTACAGGAGAGCAGATTTCTTCCCTTTTCTTCTGGTGGTTCTGTTATAACCTTGAGTTCCAGGAAAGAATGGGCACTTTTATCCTATTAGCTCTGCGGGAGGGGGGACGGGGATAGGGACAAGGAGCAAGGCAGGCTCTGGTGAGGATTAAGAGGTAGACTGTCCCCTCTCCAAAGTGGGGAAGAGCAGGAGAAATTAGTGGACAAATCCTCTTAAGTCATCTTCTTTCTTATTCTAGCATGCCAAGCCATTTTGCATATGGTCTTGGATCCTCTTTCCCTGTTGGCAAAGGGAAAACATCTATGGGGAGAGGGAAACGTTGCTGCGATTATCCTAAAGAGGGCGGGGACCAACATCCTGGCATCTGTGCCAGGCCAGAATGGTTCCAAGAGCAGGATGTGGGATGGGGATGTACAATTACATTTCTGATCAGTGTTTACTCCCTTGGGCTTCGGGGCCGTGAAGGAAGATATCGAGGGGACTGGGGAACTCTGGAGCACCTAGGAAATATGGTCAAAGCCAAAAATCCCTCCAAGTGGAGGAGCTATGAAGGCCATGTGTACACTCTGTGGATTGGGACCACTCAAGGAACCAGAGTCCGGAAAGAAGCACAAACGCGTGTGATAAAGGTTTCCATGATGGGTAAGAGACTACCAGGAAAAACTGGAGAAGAAAAGTCTAAAACTGATGAGGAAACTCCCACCTTGGGGACAGTTTGGGTTCTTCAGAGTTCCCCTTGAACCCCTGAACTAGTGTTCTTACTCACCCATTTATCTACCCGTCTGCCGTGCCCACACCAAGCTGCCGCCCAGCAAAGCCATTCTCAGAACAGAGTCTCGTGTTAGAGTGTGAGATGCATAGTGGTCTAGACTCCTTCAAGAGGGACTCCTCCTCTGAGCCTCTAGTGGAGGGAACGTTCCCTGCAGAATATTGCTCAAAGGTCTAGAAGGACCTGGCCAGTGTCCGGTATGACCACTTTGCTTCCGAGCTGTATTTGGTGAGTCCGGTGGTTGGCGAGTCCTGTTTCTGCACATCCTCTGGCTTGGCCCGTCCACAAAGGAGAGGAGTCTGCCTGTGGGTTTATTGCCTCCGCAGCCAGAGCTGTCAGCTGCCTGCCTTGTCTAGGAAAACTGACTCAAAGAAGGGGACACACCTGGGGTCCCAAAGCACACTGTGAGCGCCTGGGCTCTTCCTGTGGCTCTGCAGGAACAAAAGGACAGAATGGACTTTTGGAGTCATGGCCCTAGCATTTATTCTCAGGTGGTGAACAGGAGGGTGAGGTGTAGAGATACTTTCTCTCTCGCTCATGGAGTCTTACTGAAGACAGGATCGTCGTCCTTGTGTGCGTCAGCTGGGAACGCGCCTCTCGCCGTCTGAAAGACCTGACCTCCGGGCCCCTCAAACCTGACACCTCCCAGGAAACACTCTCCGTAACTTCAAAGAACCCTGACCAGAGACGCTCTCACACTTCTTGTATTGACCGAGCCTGTGCTGAGGGGAGGAGGGGAGCACACGAAGCAGGAGGTGGGCGAGGAGGCTCTGAAGCACACGGCCTAGCCCGGGGCGTGTCGGGCAAGGTCGCCCCGGCGCTCACACTCTCCCTCCTTCCTTCCTTCCCCCCAGTGCTCCAGGCTCCACTGGGCCAGTCCCACCTTAGAGTTCAGAGTTATCAAGTCCGAGGACAGAACTGTAAGAGTATGGACACAAAACACCAAACGGATCAGGGGTGGGCTCCGGTGAGCGCGATGGGAGACATGCCCCTTTGGCTGGGGCCATTTCTGGCTTCTCAGCCTCCAGGGTGTGTGCTGTGAGCAGCAGGGAGCCCAGGTCTCGGGGCCGCTCAGTGCTGGAAGAACTTCCCCCCTCCCCGCAGGGCTGTACAGGAGCACAGGCACAGGGTGGGGGCTTACTGACGGCAAGGGGTAGACCCCGGGGAGACCGGAGAGTGGTCGGCAGTTTCATGAAAGCAAAGTTACAGCTGCCACTTGTGCCTGTGGGAGGAGCAGGTGGAGAAGGGCCTCCAGGAAAGGGCCGGGACAAGGGCGTCCAGCACCAAGCACACTCACTCGGCTGCGTCCTCCGTGCGTCCCCATCCGCCCGCCTCCGGCACACTGCAGCTGGGACCCGGATTTGTGCTTGGTGAGAGCTGCAAAGGAAAGTGGTGGCAGAAACGCTGGGGGCTGCCCTGGCGGTGGCCAGTTCTGGGGTCCTCCGCAAAGTAGCCCTAGTGCCCGAGACCCGGAACAGGGCCCTCTTCCCGGCCGGTCCCCACCCGCGCGTGATCCTAGACGTGGGTCTGCATCCGCCGCTGCAGGGGCCGGCTGGGGTCGGAGTTCTGCGAGGAGGACTGGGAGTGGTGGGAGGAGGAGGCCGAGGCCTTGCTGGCCTTGTCGAACTGCACGTAGCCGTCCTGCTTGCCGCTGCTGCTGACGCTGCTGTCGCACTGCGTGTCCAGGAAGGAGCTGCTGTCGCTGAGCGAGCCCCTCTGGAACTCCCGCTCGCAGAGCTCGATGGAGGAGCTGCCCATGCCCAACACGAACCGCTGCCCGTAGTCGTAGAGGCGGCCCTGGCCGCTCAGGGTGCTGTAGATGTTGGTGAAGGACATGCCGGTGGGCACGCGCTGCTTGGCCGCGGGGCGCAGGTCCGGCTGGCAGCTGGAGAGGGCGATGGTGGGGGTGGAGTGGTGCTCCTTGAAGGTGTTGACGCTGTAGTAGCCGTTGGTGGGGTCCTGCGTGGGCAAGAGCGACGGCATCACCCGGTGCTGCCTCACACAGGGAGGGGCGGGGCAGAGGAAGGGAGCCACCCAGGAGGGGACAGTGCGGGCCAGGCCGTGGGCGGCAGGTGAGCAGGGACCCAGGCGCAGAGGGCCGGCCGGTCCGGGGCGGCAGGCAGGGGTGAGGGCTGGTGGGAGGCGAGCAGAGGCTCTGGCCTGGGTCTATGTCAGGGCAGTGCAAAATCATTTGAAAATCATAGCTGGACAACTAAAAATATATATATAT